TTTCCTACTGAGTTCACTTTAATATTATCTTATTTACAAATATGTTTCTTTCCGAGACGTTTTTCTAACAAAAATCTTGTTATGCATTTGCAACTAAATCTTTATAATAAATGAGGTGCAGCTTACACATTTACTAAGCTACCAATTATCAATTCTTTTTGCAGCCTCCTGTAATTTCTTTGCTCTTATGCCCAAAGTGAGGAGCTGTTTCAAGGAAACAGCGGCTACGGTCTAGAAACCCGAAATTAACGGCCGTGGGGATCCGTTGCACTGACGACATGACACCCTCTATCCGCTAAAGTTGGCACTAACTTCGCCGACAAGCGGCAGTCGCTCGGTCGGTATAGTTCGCTTGCGGACTAAAACCACGAGTTCTTTGGTTATTTGTGTATTTTTTAATTTGTCCTACCCTGAATTCTCTAAGCGAGCAGTAAAAATAATCTTAAACAGCTGAAACAAGTTTGAAAGCAAATTTTCTGTCTACTTCCTCCCACCGCCTGGGAACAATCCTGATGGCCCATTCCTCGCGTTTATCAGTGTGATGCTTTTTATTGTAGACCCCCAACAATGTGGAGTTCATTGATGGCTGAAAGCCGGAATAGTGCCGGCAGAGTAGACGTTCATTGATAGGCAAGGGCTCGGTAAACACGTTCCTCTGCAACGAATAGGCAAGCAACAATGAAAGGATTGTTAGGAAATGGTGTTTTCTGTTGGTTCCGCCTCGAGGCTATATATCCCAGGACAACTGAGAGTTAGTTGAAACCCGTGTGGAGGCGGGGGTCGAATACCTCGACCGTGACCCTGCGAGTCGTAGGAGGCGACGAAAAGGGAAGTCTCAAATTTGAGATAGTAATATATGGTCTCGAGTACCAAGGGACTCGGACCCGAGAAATACTGCGCTGGCAAGGACCAGGAGCATATACAGAAGACAGACCCGTCCTCTCGTCAGAGAGGGCGCTCACAGAAACAAGACCGTAACTGTCAAACAGTAATAAATATCTGGTCATGAGCCCCAGGAGGGTGCTCGACAACAAGACGTACTGACTGACTGGCCGTCAGTCGCAATGTGACTTTGATTTGAGTTAGTTGAGACTCGGCAGTCGAAGCTAACTGAGAAGAGATTGCAACGAGATGGTTGGCAGTTGCAGCAAAGAACTGGATTGAGATTTCCAGAGTTGGCAGTTGGCAGTTGCAGCAAAGAAATGGACTCAGATTTCCGGAGTTGGCAGTTGGCAGGTGATTGAGGAATGGAGACAGTTCAGTTGGCTTGGAAGTCCTGCTGTGAAAAGAAGATTTTATGTGTGCTATAGTTACAGTGATACTGTTATAAATCCGTTGTCAGAATACGGCTAGTGAAGACTGAGAAGATTTAACGTGTCCTGGTGGTTTGTAAAGTGTGGAGATTAGCGGTAGCGCTGTAATTACTTGTAGGTCCGCGTGGTGGTATGTTAAAGTGATCAATATATCCAATATCCAATCTACACCCCGTCTATAGTGACACATTTGTCCTGAACTCTCGCAAGCCGGGATGACTGTCCACAAGTTTGGTGTAGGCAACAAGCCCATGACGCCTGTGACAAGCGGGTTCACCGTCCGTGAAAAGCGACCATTTTGCATAAAGAAAACCTTCTTGAGGACGTAGCTGTGCACGGTCATCTTGCCTGGTTTCAAGTATGTTAAAATGATCATTTGAGCCGATCGCATCTGTCATGTTTACGGGCTGGGAACACGGAAGTGTGTATCAGATATGTGCATTGCAGCATTAATATTCATGCCAACATTTGGGGGCACGCGGTAGCGTAGTTGGTTGAGGAACTATGCTACAAGCCGGAAGGTCGCAGGTTCAAGTCCCGATGAGGTCATTGGATTCTTTTCAATTGCTCTAATCCTTCCAGCCGCAATATGGCGCTGGGGTCGACTCAGCCTCTAACAGAAATGAGTACCAGGAATCTTCTTCGAGGTAAAGGGCGGCCGGCGCGTAGGCTGACCTCACCGCCATCTGTGAGCCGATTGTCTAGAAAATGTGGGAGCCTCGACGTCTCACAACCCTATGGGCCTCCATGGCCTGTTACAGGGACAGCTTTACTTTATTTTTACTTGCCACTGCCCTGCTCTGTGGCTAGACACGTGTCGGGTCACACATGAAGCCTCAAACCTTGAGGCCAAGGATGTGATAATGTTCCGCCTGCTCAGGACTATCGTACACCCTAGGGTCTGGTGATAATGTCTCCGTTTTCTTTCGGACCGGTTTAAAGAATTTAATTTAGTTTATTTAAAGAATTACTGGACATTTATTTATGATTATTTAATTTTTACCGGTTTATAAGTTTTATAGTGGCACGCGGTAACGTAGTCGGTTGAGGCACTATGCTACAAGCCGAAAGGTCGCGGGTTCGATTCCCGATGAGGTCACTGGATTTTTTCAATTAACCTAATCATTCCTGCCGCACTATGACCTTGGGGTCGCCTCAGCCTCTAACAGAAATGAGTACCAGGAATTTTGGTGGGGGTAAAGGGTGGCCGGAGTGTAAGGCTGACAACCTCGCCGCCATCTGTGAGCCGACTATCCTTCTGATATTAACCCAAATAACCCTGAAGGTAGAGATGGATGAAAAGTGAGAGGTTCAGCTACAATAGCGCAATGGTGGAATGTTAAGTGGCAAGGGAAAACCGGAGAGAACTCTGCTCCAGTACCACTTCACGCACCAAGAATCTCTTACGCAGTCACTTGGAACTGAACCAGAGGCTCCGCCGTCAGGAGCCAGCATCTAATCGTCTGAACAGTGGACCGGCTTTCTGCGCCTGAGTAAGACCAGAAGAGTCAATTAAGAGAAGCAGAGTGGAACAGTAATTTGCTGCTGGCCCTCGCCAGCACAGTCATTCTTTGTTTCGGGTATCGCGGGGCCAATGACAATAATCTTCTGCCTCATGACTCTGACGGAGATGCGAAAAAATACACTTTACGTATTATTCTGTCAGTAGGAGTTGGCCGCACAGAAAACATTATGTAAGGCTGTCCATAACGGTTATGTAAGGGTCTTCACAGCTGCCAAGTTCTGGAGGCTAGCTGGAGCACTGCCTTCTGAAACAGATTGTTATGCAGATCATCACAATGTAAGGACAACGCGACTTCCGCTGCTAGGATCGGCCACAATATAAGTTACCAAAGTTGATAAGAGAAATCACTTCTCTTCTGTTACGACTCAATTTTATAACAGACGGTACGCAGAACATGATGAATGCATCAACAACTACATTTTGTAGTAACTATAGACGGGTTTTGGGTTGGTAATCAGATATATTGGACTGTTTAATACAGCGCGTGACTACAATTCACACTTCACTGTCACATACAGTAGCGACCACAGTCAGGTCTTCACTAGTCGTTGCTTCGTTGCGGCTTCCAACGGCTGACTTTCGCCTTCTTCTGGGTTCCCGAACTGTCCCCAGCCTCAGCTACCAGCTTCTCACAGAAAGAGCCCACGAAGACTGAACCCCAGCGGTTACCTCACTCACTCACTGAGACTGAGTCTTATGTTACGACCAAACGTTCAGTAGCCCAGTCTAACGTATCTTGTATTAAAGCACCCATCTGAGGCTTACGACCAGATTTTTGTTACTGTCAGACAGTTGCGCTCTCTCTGACGAGAGGACGGGTCTGTCTTTTACAATTGCTGCTGGTCCTCGTGAGCGCAGTCATTCTCGGGTCCGAGTCCAGATTCGAGACTTCTCCTTTCATCGCCTCCTACGACTCGCAGGGTCACGGTGGAGGTATTCGACCCCGCTTCCACACGGGATTCTTGTATCTCACTGACTCTCAGCTTCTCCTGCTTATAACATCCCGGCACGATCGCGTAGAAAACACCCTTCCTCTGTTGCAGGTCAATTGTTGTCGTGGAAACACGCTTATTTTCGGAGGGGATATTGAGCAACGGCTGTTGCTTATTTCGCGGTCGTTACCTAGCAACGGTCTACATGCCACATTATCTATTACGTACTATGAAAAATAAGAAGTAAGGAAATGCATGCACACGGCAACATGGCGTCGCGTACTCGAAGTCGCTTCCTGGATACATTTCTGGAGTTGAATTGGTCTGAGACCCTCGCGACTTGACGAAACATTACAATGAAAACACGTGCTACAATTCCCTGTGAAACTCCTGCTAGAAGCACGCAGCTGGTCGTGGTCAGACTGGGCCCAGAAATGCTCGTGTAGATATTCGCGTAAACCATCGCTTATTTTTGTCCAATTTGAACCAAAATTTGAACTTGTCGACAAATATCAGCGGAACACCATGACGAAATTTCATGAAAATCTGTTCCAAGCCGTTCTCGAGCTGTTATACCTGGACAGACTGTCACAGCTCTATATAAAAAGGAAACTTGACCCCATTTTTTTTAACCACTTCGCTTTTTGCATCAGCAATGTCTTCAATGTATCGTTTGTTTGTTTTGTGGTGAGATACAGCCATTGGTAACTGTAGCCGACCGCAACTGAGCATCGCTGTGAGGTAGATGCAGAACGGACTAACAACGGACAGGGAAAGTTGAGCAACTTGGAGAGAAACCTGTCACATGACCGCTGTTTGTTCCACATGAACTGTCTCGGGATCGAGCCCGCGCTGTCGCTTCGAAGGTACAAGCATTCTGCACTAACTGTACAGTCAGTCTCTCTCTCCGTCCGCAAATTCTCTCTAAATCGTCTTCTTCCTATCCGGTTCCACTCCTCAGTCGCCGTGAAGGGCAAACACGAAGCAAATGAAATGCCATGAGGTGCCGAAGGGCAAAACCAAACGAGGTTATGAATATACGCGTACGTACCGACTCGTGACGTAACAACGCTACTGCTTTTGTAGAGCGTGTGGCTGTGCAGATGGGCCCTGCCTCGTAACATGGGAAATCCTATCAGTGAACGCGCTATATTTCGGAAAGAGGGGAATGTTTATGATGTCACGTACCGTGTCACAGGGGGAAGGGGGATTTTGCGAAGCGAGTCCTCACAATGTCAGTATGGTCAGTACCACCAGCTGAACCGATCGGACTACAAGTGCAGAGATGCTGAACATTCTGAACACACTGAACTGGAGAAGATGCCTGCAGCACGCAGCCGCGTTAACAGGTCAGTCCAAGTCAGGGATCGGGAAGCATGCTGCACGCGCCCCTGGGCAATGTTAACACAGTTTCCCAAACTGTGCTGCTGGAGAACAGATCTCCGCAACCCGCTCTGCTCGCTGTCGCTCAGTCCTCCAAATTATTTGAAATACACTTGTAACGACTCACAGTTCTGACGTGTAAGTTAGTAAGATCTAATACAGTTGTTCCGGAAAATTCAACTGCAGTCTTTGAAATATTTAACGAATACTACTGTGACTGTACAAGAACATTCTATAGCTTACTGTAGGTGCAGAGAGGCTGTAGCTATTTAGGTTCCTGCTGTCACCGTACAGCCTGACAGAGACCTGCGACAGAGTGCAGAGAGGCTGTAAAGCTATTTAGGTGCCTGCTGTCAACGTACAGCCTTATACGGACCTGCAACAGTGTGCAGAACGGCACTTTTCGTGACTGTACAGGAACATTCTATAGCTTACTGCAGATGTAGAGAGGCTGTAAAGCTATTTAGGTGCCTGCTGTCAACGTACAGCCTTATACGGACCTGCAACAGTGTGCAGAACGGCACTTTTCGTGACTGTACAGGAACATTCTATAGCTTACTGTAGGTGTAGAGAGGCTGTAAAGCTATTTAGGTGCCTGCTGTCAACGTACAGCCTTATACGGACCTGCAACAGTGTGCAGAACTGCACTTTTCGTGACTGTACAGGAACACCCTATAGATTACTGTAGGTGTAGAGAGACTGTAAAGTTATTTAGGTTCCTGCTGTAACTGTACAGCCTGACAGGGCCCTGCAACAGTGTGCAGAACTGCACTTTTCGTGACTGTACAGGAACATTCTATAGCTTACTGCAGGTGTAGAGAGGCTGTAAAGCTATTTAGGTTCCTGCTGTCAACGTACAGCCTGATACGGACCTGCAACAGTGTGCAGAGAGGCTGTAGCTATTTAGGTTCCTGCTGTCACTGTACAGCCTGATAGGGACATGTAACAGCGTGCAGAACTGCACTTTTCGTCACTGTACAGCAACATTCTATAGCTTACTGTAGGTGTAGAGAGGCTGTAAAGCTATTTAGGTTCCTGCTGTCAACGTACAGCCTGATACGGACCTGCAACAGTGTGCAGATCTGCACTTTTCGTGACTGTACAGGAACATTCTGTAGCTTACTGTAGGTGTAGAGACGCTGTAAAGCTATTTAGGTTCCTGCTGTCACCGTACAGCCTGATAGGGACTTGCAACAGTGTACAGAACTGCACTTTTCGTGACTGTACAGGAACATTCTATAGCTTACTGTAGGTGGAGAGAGGCTGTAAAGCTATTTAGGTTCCTGCTGTCACCGTACAGTCTGACAAGAGACCTGCAACAGAGTGCAGAGAGGCTGTAAAGCTATTTAGGTTCCTGCTGTCACTGTACAGCCTGATAGGGACATGCAACAGTGTGCAGAACTACATTTTCCGTGACTGTACAGGAACATTCGATAGCTTAATGTAGGTGTGGAGAGGCTGTAAAGCTACCGTATTTACGCATGTATAGGCCGCACATTTTTTGCCAAAAATTCAAGAGGAAAACTGGGGTGCAGCTTATATTCGAAATCACACTTCATTTAAAAAAATATATATATTCATAATTAGTAATACAGGTGTTCAAAG